TGGCAGGCCGGACCTCCAGCTTCGCCTATGCTGAGAAAGACGCTGACATCCGTCAGATTGGCAGTGAGCTGGGCGTCAACTACGTGTTGGAAGGCGCCGTGCGCAAGGACGGCGAACAACTGCGCATTACGACTCAGCTGGTTCGGGCGGACAGCGGCTATCACGTATGGTCCCGCACCTTCGACGGCCAGGTGGGCAGCGTATTCGATTTCCAGGAGAACATTGCTCGGGCCATTGCAGATGCACTGGAAATCAGCCTGGCACCCGAGCGTACAGCTCGCCTGGTACCGGCACTGACACAGAGCCAGCCCGCTTACGACGCTTTTTTACAGGGCCGAAGCCTGGCTCGCCGGTTTGGGCCCGAAGGCAAGCAGCGCGCAGCGGCGTTGTTGGAGCAAGCAGTACAACTTGATCCGCAGTTTGCGATTGCCTGGGCTGAACTCGCGCGCACCCAGCTGTTTCTGCCCGTTTCTTTTCCGGAACTGCGACGGACGCCATATGTTGCGGCAGCCCGTGATGCCGTCCAGCGTGCGTTGGCTATTAATCCAGGCCTTGCCATGGGCCATTACGTGAATGGTCTGATCCAGGAATTTGAACTGCAATACGACGATGCGCTGGCTTCCTTTAGCCGGGCTCATCAGCTCGACCCCGGTAATCCGTTTCTGATGTCGCGATATGGGTACTTTCTTACCCTTATCGGTCATCCTGACGAGGGTGCGGAGCTTATGACCCGGGGCCTTCGCCTGGACCCAACTGATGCGGCTGCGCTTGGCAATCTGGGTGTAGCCAGGCTGGCACAGGGTGACGTTGCTGCTGCTTTACAGTTAATGCAGCGAAGTTACGACCTGGGCTTTGCGCCGATGGGGCCCATGCTTGCGAAAATACTCTGGGCACACGGGGACAAAGCCGCGGCCACAGACATCTGGCTGCAAAGCCGCGAATCGCTGGCCGGTCGCTACCTGCCCGAGCTGGAAACTGAGGAAGGCTGGGCACGCCTGGGTCGATTAACCCTTGAAGGGGATGCAGTGGAGCGTGAGTGGGTCACCGATGTGTTGCAGCGCTATTTTGCCCAGCCGGATGCGCGTGCCAATGCATACAGGCTGGGGGTGATGGTGGATGCCGGCCTCACCGCAGAGGCTTTTCTTCTGTTACAGGAAAAACCCTTTCCCATCAGTGCTGGGTTTGTGGCCTGGGTATGGGTCGCCGTGGGTGAATCAGCCGCGCCCAGCACAGATGCCGGTTTTCCGCAGTTCGCCAGAAATATCGGGTTGGTTGAAGCCTGGGAGGAATTCGGCTGGCCGGCACGCTGCACCAACCTGCCTGCAGTAGGCGAAAGCGAGTTGCAATTCTGGTGTGAGTGAGCAGATTGAAACAGGGGCGCAGGAAGCCATAAATTTTCAACCTGATGAGGTTATGAAACCGCAGGCTCAGGCCCCTAACCCTTACATGATGTAATCATCACCCGATGCTCGCACTGTGATATCAGAATGAGAGGCGGGCAACTGACCAGTCTCAGCTGCTTTGAACTTAGAGAAAGCACTGGCCGCATTCTGCCTGAGCAATCCGGTCACGACCTGTAGATTTATAATGCCTGCACAAAGGTTCGTGCCTGGTACTTCTGTAGGTCGAACACTCGTGACCTTCGTTACGGAAGGGAACTGCAGCTACCTTTTTGATGCTGAGCTAAAAGTATGTCGCACGCGTGTTTTCCATACTTTTTGGCTCAGCAGAAATAACGTGGTTATAGTTCCTATCCGTGGTTTGCCTTTCCCGTCAAGTCATGAAATCAAAGTGCACATTGAACCACCCCGGGATTACCGGAGACTCCAAATCTTAGAAGATTGGAGCGATGAGCAAATCAAATCGATATTCCCCAGAGGTCAGGGAACGCGCAGTGCGCATGGTGTTAGAACATGAACGAGAGTATCCCTCTCAATGGCAAGCGATCTGTTCGATAGCGAGCAAAATTGGCTGTTCGCCAGATAGCTTGAAAGCGTGGCTGCAGCGTTCTCAGGTTGATGCAGGCGAGATTCCGGGTACGACCACGGAAGAACGCGAGCGCATCAAGGCGTTGGAGAAGGAAGTCAAAGAACTGCGTCGTGCTAACGAAATTCTAAAAACAGCTTCAGCTTTTTTCGTAGCGGCGGAGCTCACTGGCAACCACGTTGCGTAAACTGAAGTGATGGTGGACTACATCGATTTAAATAAGGAAAAGCATGGGGTCGAGTCGATCTGCAAAGTATTGCCGATAGCCCCATCCACTTACTACGACCACAAAGAAAAGCAGCGCCATCCAGAAAAGCGTTCGTCTCGTGCTCAGCGAGACGAACATTTGAAAGAAGACATTCAGCGCGTCTGGGAAGAAAACTTTTGCGTCTACGGTGTCAGGAAAGTCTGGCGGCAACTCAATCGCGAAGATATTGACGTTGCTCGCTGTACAGTTGAGCGGCTAATGAAAATGCAAGGTTTGCGAGGTGTTGTGCGTGGTCGTCGCGTCAAAACTACCTTACCTGACAACCTGTCTGAGCGGCCGACGGACTTGGTCAATCGCGATTTCAAAGTGACTCGACCCAATGCGCTGTGGGTTGCGGATCTCACGTATGTGGCCACTTGGCGCGGTTTTGTTTACGTCGCGTTCATCATTGACGCCTTCGCTCGTCGTATTGTTGGCTGGCGAGTCTCGACGTCATTACGTGCTGACATCGCCCTGGAAGCACTGGAACAAGCGCTTCATGATCGCAGGCTCGGTAAGCAGGATCAGCTTATCCATCACAGCGATCGCGGTGTTCAGTATGTGGCCATCCGCTATGCAGATCGGCTTGCAGAAGTGGGTATTGATCCTTCGGTCGGCAGTGTCGGAGACTCGTACGACAACGCTCTGGCAGAGACCATCAACGGGTTGTATAAAGCAGAGTTGATCCGTCAGCAAGGTCCCTGGCGTGGTGTCGAGGCGGTTGAGTTTGCAACATTGAAGTGGGTCGACTGGTTCAACAATCGACGCCTCATGGCGACCATAGGCAACGTGCCACCAGCGGAACTGGAATCAGAGTATTATGAACAACAGCGATCAGCTAAAGCAGCATGATCGGAACTAATGAGCCTCCGAAGAAACCGGGGCGGTTCAATATCAAGGAACAGGTGCCTAAAAGGCGCGCCAGCACACAAGCGCCATCATTGACCCAGCGGAAGACATATCAAATCGCTCCCTTAGAATTAGAACAGAGGCTGTTGCAGGCCAGGGTTCGCCTCCTAACTATTCGTCTATGCCGAACCTCTCTACCTCTATGGGAATTGCTTCGATTACTTGACGAAGCCATTGAGCAATGTGCCCTCGGCGACAAATTAGGTATCGACTATGCCTGATCTGTAGAGCATCACTTCTCCAAGAATATTCGCACTGTTCAGCTAGTGATGCCTTTTCGTCAGCCACAGCGGCAGAATCAGATCGCATCAAAGTCGGCTTTCGTATCATCCGCCAGGTGATCTGAAACTATAATTATCTGGCGAGAGCAGCAGAATCTGCCTCCATGCTCGACCTGGTTTCGCACAGACGCGCTCATTTCTATATTGGCGAAGCCGCTACACGAGTGGAACTCGGCGATTCTCCGAACAATAACCGATACTGCCTTGAAAACAGTCCAAGGTGGTTGAAACCATGACTCAGCGCTTCATTGGTAACGGTAGTTGTAAGGTTTGGGTCTTTTAACCTGCTCCGCACACGATGCAATCGCAACAAGCGAAGGTATCGTGAAGGGCTGGTCCCAAACATATCAACGAATGCATACTCGAGGTAGCGCCGGCTGACACCAAGCATGATGCAGATATCGTCGACTCTGAGTTCTTCTGATACTCGATCGCGCATATAACGTTCTGCCCTTTGCGCAGCGCGATAGTGCGAACGAGTGCGGGATTCAACTTTGCTGCCAGGTTCATCAAAATCGCTGAGCACAGCCCCCAATGCGTTACGCAAGTCCAGAGACCATCGTCCGCCACTATGCTGCCATTCTGAACTCTTCAAACGGGTACCAATAATTGCATCTGTTGCTGTCCACAGATCCTGCAGCTTTTCTGAATCAGGCTGGGTGTGTTCGAAATCATTGAGTGACGTAAGTGCACCCGTATTTCTTGCGACGCTCGCAATCGACTCAATCCATTCGACAGGTAGAATCAGCGAAGCCCAGGTCCACCCGTCGTTGATATGGCCGTCCAATTCCGCATCGGGTTTAGAAAACAATACGCTAGCAGGGCTGATGGGGAATCCGTTAAGACGCCCTAGCGAACCGGCTCGAAAGATGCCTACGCCAAATCTCGCCGCATCAAGAGTGCCCCTGAGCCTTAAATCAAGATTAACCTTGCCTTGGTCAACTGACAGCTCGCCTATGTCTAAATTCAGGGCATACACTTCCAGATCACCGGGTTTAAGTTGGATCAGTTCGAGTTCTGAGCCGCTGATAGCATGGTTCAACTCCTCTACGTCTTGGAAGAGGGTAGGCCCCGACCCCTGGTTGCTCACGGTGTCCATCGATTAGTCTCTCAACTGTAAAGAACGCCTACTTGCGGAACAGATTATCCTAATGAAAAGGTGTTGGACAGCGCGCCAGCCGTCGTTGAATAGTTCCATGCGCAAATCTGATAGCCCGCCAACCGGATTTAGAGCATCGTGCCCGTATAGACGGGCAGGAACCTAGGTTATCCCGTGACATCGGGTTAGGCTTCAGGCTGAAAAAATACGCAATCCATAGATAAGCGTCGCCCCTACTGTATGCGTCGGTGTTTTGATAATAAAGGGACGGAAGATGAAAAAGACAATGAGCGCTTTGATAATTGGTACTTTGATGACCACAGTCGCAAGCCCGAATGTTTTTGCTCAGGAATTAGCCCCTCCCAGTGACACTGCGCCAGTTGCTCCAGAATACTCACCTTACTTGAATTACAACTATCCTGATCAGGTGTACTTTGGAGACACCCACCTACACACGTCCTACTCCACAGACGCCGGCATGTTTGGCAATACACTGGGGCCGGAAGCCGCCTACCGTTTCGCAAAAGGTGAAACAGTGACGTCGAGTACCGGTGTGCGCACACGCCTTCTTCGCCCACTCGACTTTCTGGTAGTCGCCGATCACGCTGAAAACATCGGACTAGCGCCGATGATTGCTGAATCAAATACCGATCTCCTGAAAAGCGATTGGGGGCGCCAGGTCCACGATCTGGTCAAGGCTGGGAAGTTAGGTGAAGCCTATGCAGCATGGGGCGGAGCCGTATCAAAGCGTGAGGATCCTCTCGCTGAATTAGGCAGTCTTACGCGATCGATGTGGGAACGTGTAACAGGGGCCGCGGAAGAACATAACAACCCAGGAAAATTCACTGCTTTCATCGGCTACGAATGGACATCGACTCCAAAGGGCAGCAATCTTCACCGCAACGTCATTTTTCGTGATGGTAAAGACCTTGCAGATCGCACCGTACCTTTTTCGGTTTACGATTCAGAGGACGCTGAAGACCTGTGGAAATGGATGGCAGGCTACGAAGCCAAAACCGGTGGACGCGTACTTGCTATTCCACACAATGGCAACCTCTCGAACGGTATGATGTTTGATGACGTTACCTTCCAGGGGCGCAAGCTCACACGCGCATATGCTGAATCCCGCTCACGCTGGGAACCGCTTTACGAAATTACTCAGATGAAAGGCGACGGTGAAGCGCACCCCAGCTTGTCACCTAACGATGAGTTTGCGGATTTCGAAACCTGGGACAAAGGGAGTTTCGGCAGTGCAAAGGAACCCGACATGATTCCACGCGAATATGCCCGAGAAGCGTACAAGCGAGGCCTTCAGTATGAGCAGAAACTGGGCGCCAACCCATTTAAATTTGGCATTGTCGGCAGCACAGACTCACACACCTCTATTTCAGGTACTACCGAAGACAACTTCTTCGGCAAGGTCACCGCAGTTGAGCCGACCGAAAAACCAATTCGCTTCGAGGAGATGATCACAGGCTACCTTCCAGACCCGCAAGGGCGAGACTACACGATGCGTCACTATCAGGCTTCAGCTGCAGGGCTGGCCGCAGTGTGGGCACGAGAGAATACTCGTGAGTCGCTCTGGGATGCCATGAAACGCAAAGAAGTATTTGCCACTACTGGCACCCGCCTTCGCGTACGCGTGTTCGCGGGATGGGATTTTAAGGCAGCAGAAGTAGATCGTTGGGATTTTGCGAGGGCTGGTTATTCCCGTGGTGTACCTATGGGTGGCGATTTACACAAAGGACCCTCAGGCCAGGCCCCTACTTTGATGATCCGAGCCCTTCGCGATCCCGACGGTGCCAACCTCGATCGTGTTCAGGTTGTCAAAGGTTGGATGTCCAGCGATGGTAAAACCCATGAAAGAGTCTACGATGTCGCAGTATCGGATAACCGCCGCATTGGGGCGGATGGCCGCGCCAGGACGCCAGTAGGTAACACAGTAAACGCTGAAGAGGCTACGTACACCAACTCAATCGGAGAGCCAATCCTGTTTGCCTTCTGGCAGGACCCAGAGTTCGATGTCGAACAACCCAGTTTCTATTATGTGCGAGTGCTGGAGATACCGACACCGCGTTGGACGACATACGACGCCAAATTCTATGGCGTAGCGCTCCCCGAAGGAGTGCCAACAAGCCATCAGGAGCGTGCCTATACCAGCCCGATCTGGTATGCCCCGTAAGCTGAATGCTACCTGCTGGATAGCTGGCGATGACGCCCAGGCCGGACACACCGTTTCCCTGGAACACCTTCGTGCTGGCAACCGATGGCTGTGATCAAAAGTTTCCTCAAGGAACCACTGCTCCACTTTGTATTGCTAGGGTCGGCAACATTTGCCCTGTACTCGCTTGTTTCTCCGCAAGGTAGCTACGAACGAGACAACATCATTGTGACACACGGCCAAATTGAACATCTCGAAGCTACGTTCACGAAAACCTGGCAGCGGCCGCCAACATCATCAGAATTGATCGCTCTCATTAGCGACAAAGTACGCGAAGAAATATTTTACCGCGAAGCTTTAGTAATGGGATTGGATAAAGACGACGTCGTTATTCGCCGGCGTCTGCGCCAAAAAATGGAGTTCATCTCAGAGGATGTGGCTTTGCGATCAGAGCCTACAGATGAAGAACTGATCGCCTATTTGGAGACTCATCCAGAAAAATTTCGTGTCGAGCCACGATTTACGTTCCAGCAAATATACCTGAGCCCGCATAAACACGGAGACAATCTAGCGCACCATACAGCGCAGCTTCTCACCACATTAGCACAAGCTAACGATGATGATTTACCGCAACTTGGAGATCCTTTGAGCTTACAGTTGACTCTGGTCGATAGCCCACTTGGGGAGGTTGCAAGACAGTTTGGAGAAGCGTTCGCCAAAAACCTCGCGGTTTTGCCGCGTGGCGGATGGCAGGGGCCGCTTGAATCCGGTTATGGCTTGCATCTGGTGCGGGTCAGAAAGTTCACTCAAAGCGAGCTACCAAAGCTTTCTGAAGTCCGCGAGATAGTGCAGCGTGAATGGACCAATGCACGTCGAGAAGAAGCTAACCAGAGCTTTTATGCGACACTACTCGAGCGTTACAACGTGAGTATTGAGTCGCCAGTGCTGTCCTTAGAGAATGCCGATCTGGCAAGTGCGCAATGAAACCGCAGGCGGCATTGAAAAGTACAAGCTTAGTGCTTCTTTTTTGCACCCTGCTGTTCACCACATTCACCATCAAGGCCCATGAAGTGCGGCCCGCCTACCTTGAGATTCTTGAAACTTACACTGAAAAGTATGATGTTTTGTGGAAGATTCCAGCTTCTGGGGAAAACTTGCGCCTTGGACTTTACGTAGATTTCCCAGACACCTGCAAGCCGACCACAGAACCGCGTGCGGCAATGGTTAACAACGCTCTCAGCGAACGTTGGACGGTCCACTGTGTAGACGGTTTAACCGGCAGAACGATAACAATCGCCGGACTGCAGACAATGGTTACCGATGTAATCGTGAGGCTTGAGCGCCTGGACAACACCACACAAGTCATACGCCTCACGCCTGCCTCACCATCTCTCACTGTGGCCGCCGCACCAAGCATGCTCGCGGTTGCAAGCACCTACCTAGTACTGGGGGTCGAGCACATACTTGAAGGGGTTGACCACCTTCTCTTTGTGCTTGCACTACTGCTGATTGTTGGACGGCGCTGGGGTTTGCTTTTTAAAACTATCACCGCATTTACGCTAGCCCACAGTATAACCCTTGCACTGGCGACTCTTGGATATATACAAGTGCCTCAGGCCCCGGTCGAAGCAGTTATTGCGTTGAGTATCACGTTAGTTGCGACGGAGATTCTACAGGCACGAGCCGGGCGCCGAGGGCTGACTGCCAGAACACCCTGGGTTGTGGCGTTGGTGTTCGGGCTGTTACATGGTTTAGGTTTCGCGGGCGCGTTGTCAGAGGTCGGACTGCCACAACACGCAATACCTATGGCATTGTTGCTGTTTAACATCGGGGTTGAAGTCGGCCAACTGGTATTCATCGGAATTGTCACCCTCAGTATGCATGCACTCACCCATGCAAGACTTGCCTTACCTGAGTGGACGGATACTCTCCCACCTTACGCGATAGGCAGTCTCGGGATATTCTGGGTGATTCAACGTGTTACAGCTTTCTAAATGACTCCCCGTTTCTCACCAATAATAAATTAATATGGCGAAAGCAGTAAATCCTCCCGTTCGTTCTCCGACCTCAGAAATCGTAGCTCACTGACGTCGTGATGCCGTAATCGTTTTTAGAGCCCGTTTCCGATTGCGGTTCGTTGTCAAAACTATCGTAGAAATCCAGTTGCCAGGATAAGTCTCCGGAGATCTCCCAGTTAAGCGTGATGTCGAACTCGCCACGTATGCGCCCGGATTCGGTCAAACTAGGGATAATTTCAAAGCTCGTCGATAGGTCCAGCTTAGGGGAATCAAAACGAAACCATTCCCAGGCAATAAGACCATACGATTCTAGAGAATCTAAATCACCTTCTCGATTGGCGCTGTTTTCGCGCGTCGCCTTGAGGCCGCCCTTTATCACCAGATTGCTACTGTTCGATTGAACCAGAATGCGACCGCCGCCTGCCGAAAGCGACGTTCTAAGATCGAGCCCCAACTCATCGTTGCGATCGAAACTCAATCCACCATCGTTCAACCATCGTTTAGCGCGCAGTCGAGTGTAGTTCAGACTCAGCGTCTGCCTTTGATTAACATCATTTCCTGAACTGTTAGAAATCGAGGATGCAAGTGCTCCGGACAATATCCTTTTACGTGTCCGATACGCGGCATTAAGACCAACATTGAATTGAGTAACATCACTGGCATTTGTATAGTTGTAACCAACGGACAAACCAACATCAATGTTACGAAACCCCGCATCATCGATCTGATTGATAGCGACAACTGAATCATGTGGCACTCTGAGCGTGCCATCATTGGTTTCAATCACAACTTCATTGGCTTCCTTGCTTCGTCGCAGTGGTCCATAGAAGCGTTCGCCATCCTGGGTCTCAACCTGAATGCTGTCGTGAATTTCTAAAAATGCAATCTCTTTCCATTCGATACTGATAACGCCTGTCGCGTTCGTATCGAATTTCAGCATTCCGCGATCTAAGGCCTTTGCTTCGCCGGTTAAGCGGTCACCATTAACAAACTCGACAACGTCAGTTGCGGCCCGCGTCGTTTGTGACCCGGCAAGAAACAGCAAGGCAAGTAGAACGAATGACATTACTTCCCGAATAGGCGCTCTCTCCGATGCTGTCAAACTCATTCACCTGGCTTTCGTCATTCGAATCCGACCTATTCCACAGGTTCTGGCTGCGGAAAAGTCCAGGTTTTATCGAAAAAGGCTTGCTTGGGTTGGTACAAGCGCGCGATGTAGTTCCAACCGTCAGTAATAGGAATACAGTTTACGCGACCGTCATCACAGCCACCAAAGTGTATCGTTGCTCCGCCCTCGGGATCAGGGGTGGCTGTAAGATTATTAATAGAGTTGATACCAAGGTCATTGGGCTCCATGAAACCCTTCTTGTTATAAACCGTAATCGAGGCAAACCCATCAACAGGAACGTCTTTGATTTTCAGCATGTAATTAACCTTCCCGTCGTTCTGTTCGGGAAATCCGTTGATGTAGCTTGCATCGCGCTTGGGATTTCCACCCCAACCCATAGCGGTACCGATCAGATGGTGAATCGGCGGTAGTTCACTTTTTATACCCAGCATATCGGAGGTGTCTGTGAGTGTTGAACCCAGGACATTGATCGCATCGCGAAGTTTGGTGAGTGATGCTTCGTCCCAATCCGGCAGATCTAACGTGCCAACACTCGCCTGTTTCACCATTATCTGGTCTTGGACTGCGTTTGCAGCCTTGATGTCGGCCGGATCGTTAGCGTTAACAAGTGTTCGGAAAATGACAACTACATAGCGAGTGCCCACCTGTTCTCGAGTAATGGTGTGAGCGCCTGCGGAGTAGATAGCAGGAGGGATGGAGTGATCCTGATTGACCAACATCATCGACTGCCACCGATCGGTCTCAGGTTTTATAATGGTCACGGGCTCACTCAGATCGAAGATGCCCATTGAGTAAAGTGTATCTCGGTTCATCCGGATCACATCCTGTCGATCCAGAGGCGTTGGCGCACGGATGTGCAGCAATTTGCCAAACGCACCCTGGGCTTCGTAGCGACGCATGGTCATATCAGTTTCAGCACGCACAAAATTATCTATCGTGACCATTTGAGCTGTCACAGTTTGCGACGAAAGTGCCAGCAGATAAATAAAGCCTGCACTCAAAAATATTTTGCTAAACAGCATGTTTTTCGCTCCTGAAGATTCTGTTATTCGAATAAATAAGGGTTAACGACTTTTAGTGACTACGACGCCATCGAGCGTCGAAGCACATTTCAGAGACGCGCAACGTCGGTGCAGGCACCAAATACGCTGATGGTTGCGCCATCAGAAGAGATAGCCGCAGAAAGCAGCCCCGTTGCCTGGTCAACTACAAAGCTAAAAGCGCGGCCGTTCTCAATACCTTGCAAGAAAAACTCGGATTCGTCGCGCGTGAACTCAACTTTCGTGGAACGATTCTCCCCACTCGCCTGGGTCGTCGAGACTATTTCCTTTCTAGTGTCGATAAGGACAAACTGCGGTACGCCCAACTCCCAGGGATCAACATCTAAGCATTCACTCGTTTCGAAGCAAATAGTGACATCGGAAGCCGAACATAGGAGTCTGGCTGAGTTGGAAACATCGTCTGCAGACGCAAGTGCCGCAAAAAAGAATGTTGAAAAGATGACTGCCGGTGCTCTCATTAAAACCCCATCCATTGTAGACACGAACCACAGCAGATTATGTTGGCGCATGGGACTATGTAATAGCTATCAATATTGCGCACGGATCGGTCAAAATCCCAGACAACGCGGTAAATGTAACTATCTGTTGCGCAGAATTGATAGCGACACCTCAGCACTTGATAGAGACTGCTCTGGCGCCATGTAGCTTGTGCCGGTTGAATCCTTACAAACACCGTGGCCAACGAAAACTCGCTGAGTTTCTGAATCAACTGAAATTAAGAAAGCGATACCAGCGGTCAGACGTCTAACTAGAGATTACTTTATGAAGTACACAATTATCCTTGTAATGCTGTATATCGCCTTGGCAAATACAGCCAATGCTGAAGCGCCCAGCAAAACACTGGCTGCAACACTCGACATTTACGCGTTCCCCAAAACTGGACAGCCTGCCGACCAGCAATCCAAAGATGAAGCTGCTTGTTACGATTGGGCGACATCGAACACGGGTAGCGATCCTTTCGCCGCAAAACAAGCTCAGACAGCCGCCGCCCAGGACGCTGATCAGAAAATAGAGCAGGCACAACGAGCGACACAGGGCGCAGGCGCAGGCGGCGCCGTTAAAGGTGCAGCAGCAGGTGCACTCATCGGTGAAGTTACTCATGGCGACACCGGCGAGAGTGCCGCAATAGGCGCGGCAGTCGGGCTCATCGCCTCGAGACGCAAAGCTCGTAACGCCAGCGCACAGGCTCAGCAGCAGGCAGCTACGCAAGGCAATCAGAGCATTCAGGCGAACGCAGAAGACATTGAGAACTTTAAGAAAGCATTCAGCATTTGTCTCGAGGCAAAGGATTACCTTGTTAAATACTAACGGCAGAAGAACATGAAATACCTGAACTCTCTAATAGCAACTTTATTGCTGTTACCAATGACAGCTCAAAACGTTGCAGCAAATGAAAACGCTGATGTGTGGCAATTCCAATTGACTCCCTACGTTTGGATACCAACGATCAGCGGTAAATTAAACTACGATATTCCCGCTGGTGGCAGCGGCGCACCAACGGTTGATGTAGGACCTACAGATTGGCTCGAATTGTTGAATGGCGCCTTCCTGGTGCAGTTTGAAGCACGCAAAAGTGGCTTCGTTTTATATACTGATATCGTATATCTGGGGCTAGAATCGGACGAAGACAAAGTAAGCTCCGTATCAGCAGGGCCCGGCGAACGAGTCACTGTGACAGTTAACCGGAAAACTGAGACTGATATTGACGGGTTCACGATGACGCTTGCAGGCGGGTATGCAATTCGTGAGGACGATCATGCCTCATTGGATGTTTTGGTTGGCGCACGTTTTTTTGGCATGGACACAAAAACGAGTTGGAACCTGAGTGCCGACGTCGAGATACCAGAAGGCGGTAGTATTTTGTCTCGACAGGGTTCAATAAAAAGTGATCTGGAATCCTGGGATGCTATCGCTGGAATAAAAGGCCATAAACGCATTGGCAGCAGCAAATGGGCACTAAATTACTATGTCGATGTTGGTACAGGCGACTCTGACCTTACCTGGCAGGCAATTGCGGGCGCGTCCTATGCTTTCAGTTGGGGTGACCTGCTAGTCAGCTATCGACATTTTGAATATGACGGCGGGCCTAAGGGCTTGATGGAAGATTTCAGCTTCAGTGGTTTGGTTTTCGGGGGCCGATTCTCTTTTTAGCGACCCCCGCCGCACAGCTCCTAATCACTTTTTTCGACGGCTATCGCCAGCAATTCAGTGATGGGCATAACAACGAAGGGTGCTGACAAGTTAAGCGCTCCTCTGGCAGCATATCCGGATGAAAAACATCTATAAGCACCACCGATTCCCGCCATCAATCATTCAACACGCTGTTTGGCTCTACTACCGTTTCAATCTCAGCGTCAGAGATGTTGAGGACTTGTTAGCCGAGCGCAATATTTCCGTTAGCTACGAAGCCATTCGACTCTGGATCAACAAATTCGGTCCTGAGTTTACCAAACGTCTTCGGCGCCGACACATCGGCTTCGGTGACACTTTCTTTTTAGACGAAGTGTTCGTGAAGATTGGTGGCAAACAACACTACCTCTGGCGAGCCGTCGATCAAGATGGTGAAATCGTGGACGTGTTTTTGCAAACCCGAAGAGACGCCAAGGCAGCAAAACGTTTCTTCCAACGATTTCTCAAATCGGGTGGTGTACCAAGAGAAATCGTCACAGACAAACTCCGCAGTTATGGCGTAGCGCACCGAATATTGATCCCTAGCACCCACCACAACACACTGCAGTACGCCAACAACCGCGCAGAGCTATCACATCAATCCACCCGGGTTCGAGAACGGGTCATGCGCCGTTTCAAATCAATTACGCAGGCTCAACGATTCCTGGAAAGTCACGCTGCCATCTATAACCTGTTCAATCTGCACAGACATTCCTTGGACAGAAGATATTTTAAGCTGTTCCGGATTCGATCTTTCGCGACTTGGGATGCGATCTCCGCACCTTGAGTGGGACATTGGACTGTCAATGACCCGCGGAAATAGTTAACTTGTCAGTACCCTGGTGCGGAACTCAAAGATCTAGCTCAGTATGGCTCAATCTTTAGTAACTTCTTCAAAGCGCCACCGAGCTCTCCTCTTGGCGTATTCAAACAGCGCCTCGAGGCAGTAGACACAGCCACCGTCTATCCATTTTTGCTCGAAGCATACTCACAGCTGGCAACCGCCAAGCCCGAAGAGTTTCATCAGATCCTTTCGATTCTCGAATCCTTCTTGGTTCGCAGAATGATTTGTGGTCTCACGGCAAAAAACTACAACAAGCTGTTCATCGATCTGCTGAAAAACACGACAGGACAAGATCTAATCTCCATATCTAAGGTGATTGAATTCCTTCGCAATGGAACGGGAGACAGTCTACGATTCCCAGATGACGACGAGTTCCGAACCTCCTTCGTGGCGTCACCCGTCTATTCGAAACTAGCACAATACAAAGTGAATGCAGTCCTGCTAGCACTTGAGAATGCATTTGAGGATGCAAAGAGCGAGGGTGTAGCACTCGGGACTAAACTAACAATCGAGCATCTCATGCCCCAATCGTGGCAGGAGCATTGGCCTATCAGCAACAATGAATATCCTGACCTAGCAGCAAAACAAAACGCAATTGAGCAACGCGACGCGGTGATTCACACTTTTGGGAACCTAACTTTGATTACAAGTAGTCTGAACCCCTCGCTCTCAAACAGTAATTGGGAAGTTAAACGCCCGGAGATATTGAAATTTAGCAAGCTCAATCTGACTCGCTACTTCCACGACACACCGGTCTGGAATGAGGACGAAATAAACAAACGCGGGCTGACGTTGTTTGAGAAGGCTTTGGAAATCTGGCCATATCCATAGCACCCTCTCGAACTCGCGGATATCGCGCCGATATATCTACCTCACCTTGACGAACAACTGCGTCGGCAGGCGCCCACCTTCTACTTCTACCGCCATCCGTGCCAATCGCTCACCATTCGCGACGGTGTCCGTGTTTTGGGTATCGAAGTAGGTGACCTGCCGGGAGTTGCTGCGCGACGCTCGCCAATAAGACAACCCCTGATCAAGCCTAACCGTAAGGGAGCTGCCTGAAGCAAAAGTGATTTCCAATTTACGGCTGTGTTCAACACCCGCGGAAGACCCCGCTGTTGCTTTCGCTTCTAATCCGAGATAGTCAAAGACCGCTTCTACGGAGCCATCCCGAACACTATTGTCCGCCCAGTCGCTCCAGACTCTATTCTTTGTTCTATTATCACCAGTGACACGCTTTTCAGTCGTGAGTATCTCAACGCTCGATACTGCCCATCTGTCCGTGCCCACAACACTCCGTAAGCCATCGACGACCTCCGCAAGTGTTGCAACGGAGAGAGGTGTGAAAAGGTAACGATCTTGGTAACTGATCGACGCCACCTCGTCACCTCCCGATAATACGAGTTGTTCGGTGGCCGCGTGTTCACCAGAGATCAACGTCCAGAAACGCTCGCCAAAGCCCTGAAGCGGACCATCCAGTTCACCCTGGATTTCCAATTCACGATCGCCGTCGATGAATCCCTTCGGGCGAATCTCGTCAGGCGCTAGAGTTCGACCTGTTTTATCGAGTAGCTGTCCCTCGCGGGTGGTCACCAATGGACTGTGCGATGAACCCCAACCAGGTGCAAACTCTATACACACGTCATCCGCTAGAGCCCACTGTTTCGAGGTTGTTGTTGCTTCGGCAATCAAAATTCCACTACCAACCTTAGGAATAGAATCCAACGCATGTACTGACACGAGCGGATGGTCTGCAAGGCTCGCTAGCAGGAATCTATCAATATCGCTTAACTCTTCGACAACTAAATCAGCAACGAGCAGCTCCACTTTGACATTTTGACCTGCGAGTCTGTATATCAGCTCCCGCAGCGAGGCAGGCCCAAGATCCCAGTCCTTTGACGCCCCACCCACCACTAAACGTACAGAACCTGCACCACCCGATCGCACCGAGTGCCATATCGCTTCAAAGAGCGTTAGATATTCCGGCTGTGAAGCCTCGCCCCAGAACGCCAGTTCTCCCGGCAAGCGCAGCTTATTGAGCCACTGATCGGTCAATACTTCCTTTGCCCGATGCCTATCCAAGCGATCAACTGCAAACCGCTGATCGTAGTCCAAGACGCAACTTGGGCAAGCACTATCACATCCCGCAGTGCAATCCAGGCGGTGACGAGCCAGTTGAAAAAGTTTATCGAAGTATCTCTCCGCAGCTGAAGCGTACCCAGCCGCGTATCTATCAAAGATGACAATAGATTGGCACGGCAATCCATCCTCTCCTTGAGCTGGCTTCACGTCACACCCCAATTCGTTGGCTTGAACGCCAATAAGCTCTGACAGTGCATCTCGTAGCGCAACAGCCAGCGTCGTCGCCGTTGTCGAATTATTAAGCCAACCCCCGTTAGCCGTTCGTAATTGTAACTCAAAGATATCAGTCCACGTTTCATGGCCCAGCGTTATGCCTTCTTTGATTTTCCAGGCATCGTCGCTCCCCGGGCAGAACAAGCCGTCTTCCCGACTTCGACGCAGCTTCCGGTGGGGCTGGGTAAACACAGCGGGCCGAGATCCATCCACCGTCATGGGCTCAGCTCGTCCACACTCCAAACACAATGCATAGCCAGTGCCATTCGTGCCGCGCGACTGATGCAAGACGTGACCTCGAGTTGTGCTCCTGAAGCGTCCCAACTCCGGGTTGGCAAGGGGAAACCAATCGCCATCAGCATCAATCCAGGGAGCTTCTACCGGCACAAAGTGCTGCGTAGTAACGTCGTTTCCAGGATCCTTGTAGAAGTCCACTGCGAATCCAGCAGGTTCTAGAAACTCCCTGCAGTTTTCGGGAGAAAGGCTCGCGCCACAACTATCGCAACGACTTGCTGCTTGCATGCTGTAGCTCGATCCACTTGCCCCACACTGCTGACATCGCCACGCAAGCCGGATATCCTGAATCTCTCGCGCAGCGGTCTGATCAGCAGGAATGTGCCAGTTCAAAGTAACGCCCGCTGAACGGTATACCAGACCATCCAACACGACCTCCGATCCTGGGGCGTATTCGCGCAAGGCAGTCGTTAAATCACGGCTGGCAAGTTCCCGCCGCTTGTACCGATTGTCTTCGCGCCGTTCGCTTTCTCGCTTTCTTTGTTCGCGGATATACCGACCTATAGTCAAGTTATCGAATGGAGCAATGGAGGTAGGAAAGCCGTAGGCGGGAAGGAAACCTTTCGTGGCAAGCTCACGAAGAAGGTATTCTCCGGACATTCGCTCTTTGTGGATAGTTACTGCTTTAAATGCGGGAGAGGTTTCTCCTCCTGCCTGTTTAATCTCGTTTTCTTCTTCCTCAAGTCTTTCCCATTCAACCTGCCATCGTGACGCCACTTCATCCATGCGGAAAGCGGCCTGATCCATCGCCCTATTTAAACTTTGCCCATCATACGAGCTGTTACGGGATATTTGCCGTAATCCGCTAGCAAGCGCTGGTGATTCGTTTTCCGAAAATCCACGGCACCAGGACGCATATCTGGAACTCATTGCATCCTCACCCAGGAAGAAAAAGCCGCACGTCAACTTGGTTTGTTCTTGATCGGTTCCTAGAAGCATTTCAGCCAGAAACCGCGATAGCAACAAAGAGTGAATGTGGCGCTGGACGATGACCGTGCTATCAAGGCTAACCCTCGGCGCCGGTAGAGAAGTGTCAAAAGCCCAACGACTATTCCCAAATACGGCCTGATCATGAGGATTCGCCTTACATACGGTCATAGCTAAAGACCTAGCTTCACGACGACGACCGGCACGTCCCGCGCGCTGTAGATAATTCGCCGGATGCGGCGGCACGTTGTTCATAGCTACTAGGCTGATACCGCCGATATCAATCCCCATCTCCATTGTCGTGGAACACGATAGAAGATTGATGTCTCCGTTTTTGAACGCTCGCTCATAGCGTTCCAAAGTGGAGGAGTCCTGCTGTGCAGAATGCTCCGCAGTGGTGAAATAAGGGGCCAGTTCAATTGTCCGATCATTTAGGTTCGACCAGACTCCTTGCTCCCTGAGGCTGGTTACACCCTCCTGAGAGGCGATCCATTCTCGCCCACGATCGATACGTTCAATCTCGTCCGTAATGTCACCAAAAGGCTTATCATAGACAGGGATCTCGACCGGATCGCACATCGCTGTCGCAGCCTTCGCCATCTCGGGAAGATAGGGCGTTACCCCCTTAAGCGTGGTATCAAGCAAACGCCTCGTTATCGGGCATATCCACGCTTGGGTCATTGGACTAAATGCGAGCTGGTCCAGCGGCAAAACCCGTCCGTCACCGGCTTGCTGCAAGATGCCCAGCCCGACGAGCGAATCCCATGCCGCCTGTAGCAGTCCGTCTACTCGGTCTTCGCCGAGAGGTGTATCAACATCCACCTCCAGGCTGTACGAAAGTAAGCGAACCATCAGACTTCGCGTACCTACCCGGCCAGCCCTTGGCCAGCGACGCTGGTTTCTTCCGACTTCCAGTTCTTCTTCGTTGACTAGCTGAATTTGAGGAAAGGGCATACCAAGCCAGTTACGCCAATCTCTTGAAAAAGCCAACGCGCCATTCGCACGTACAAAAAAGTCGAGCAAGATCTTCAGACAGTCTTTCCAAGTGTCCAAGTCGAAGTCCGACACTTGGGTAACAGACGCGGGCACGTACTCAACATCGCTCAGTTTAGGATACTGGACCGTTACCAGCCCCATGCTCTCCAAGTTGTTCAGCCGTTTGGGCCGGCGCCCAAATTCGCGGACCAGAAACATCCTGGCCAATTCGATAGGTCCACCCGCCTCACCAAAAGTGCCTGGAGCATTCTGTCGATAATGTTTCAACATGTAGTCGAAATCGCGACCATAGTTGGACAGACGCTGGGCGAGATCATTGAACGCAATCGGTGTAGGGCTGCTTAGAGCCACGAGCTCAGACTTTTTGTCCTCGATCATTTGAGCCAACAGCTCATTTGGAGACTGAGCGTGCACAGTCTCAAGACTTCCAATCTCATTGGCCAAATCGGCCGATTTTCCCGTCGCCGTAGCCTGACCGTGCTGTAGAGTCAGATGATACACAAGTCCCCTGATGCGATTCCGTTCTGCATCCTGTTGCAAGCGTGCGGCCATGCGCGCCGTGCCCTGACGACTGTCGTTAAAGGTTAGAAGGCGGCGACCCCGACAAGGGTGGTCCGCGGTTTTGTCCCCGTCAGGCGCATATTCCAAAAGTGTCGGCAAGATGTTACCAATTAGGAATGGGGCACCGAGCCGGCTATGCTGAAACAAGCGGTATCTCGGGGTTTCTCGCCCTTCACAGATCGGACATGCTAATCCATTACCGTCGTCCTCGTAGGCACGCAGGTTTAATGTCTCGTTGGAGCGATCTACGATCTGGCGAGAAGCGCGCTCTATGTTGAGACCTCCGGTTAGCGACGAGGCCCTGTTTACAATTAGTACACGGTGCTGTCTTCCACCAACTACATCCTCCTCGATCTCATCAGAATCGGATTCATCGGCTCCAGTGTCTCCTTCGATCTCCAACTCAAACTCGTCAAGCACCTCAGCACTTCGCAAGTGCACCAGCTTGCCGGATGCCTCACCAGCTAGAAGATGCACGGTCCCACAATCTCCGCACATCACTACCTCGTAGGCTGGACTACCACAGGCACAATGTTTTCGTGGATCAAAATAGACCTGACCGAAGGGCCAATCCGCTTCTTCCAGTTTGGTCCCGATTTTCTCTGTGCAACTTTGGTCAGCGCATGCCCACAGCCCGGACATCGTCTGATGATACAGATGCGCTCTTATCGGCAGATATGACTCAACGTCTGAATCATCATCTTTTGCTTTACTACGTGTACCCGAGAGTAGATCCAACCACGCCAGCGCCTCGTTCTGCTGCTCTCTCGTATAGTGTCTCCCACTGCCAAAAACCGCAGCACAAACCTCTGATAATCGCGCCACCGGTTGTGCCTGGTCTTTTCCGACGAAAAGTTCGCGAATCGCCCGAGCAATGGGGTGGGCTGTCAGAGCAGCATAGCGTTCCGCTGAAGATTCCATTCCGCGATCGATTCCTGCCAGTTCCGTGAGGGTTAGCTGACTTTTGCTTTGCGTACCCGGCAACGCGGGAATCAGGCGCTGCCCAGCGACGAGGTGCACACGATCTATGGAAACGCCAGCCACGCCAGCAAGGAACTCGCGGAGCTTACGCCCCGCTTCGCCATCAGGATCACCAATTGTCGCGGAGGTTGCGACAAATCGAACCTGCTCCGGCGTGACGCCGAACGCAAACAGTACACGTCGAATCAGTAACGCAGCCTCTGCTGCCTGTGATCCTACATAAGTATGTGCTTCATCGAGCACAACCCATTCGAGCTTGCCCTGTGATTGCTCCAAAATAGGCGCATCTGCCGTACGGACGAGCATGTATTCGAGCATAGTTGCATTAGTAACAAGAATCGGTGGCGGAACCGAACGTAAACTCTCACGGTCTGCAACCTCGCTACCATATGCTCGACGCTCTCCTGCCTTTCTCTTCTCCGGCGTCGTACCGTTATATAGGCTAAATCGAATATCTCCATCAAACCCGTGAGTCCAAGCACGCAGACGTTCACGCTGACTATTGATGAGGGCATTCAATGGATACAGGAAGAGTGCTCGGACACCGACTAGTGGTCCTTCGTTTTGTTGTCGAGCTCTCGCCAATGAATCCAAGATAGGCACCATGAAACATTCTGTCTTCCCAGAACCAGTTCCACTGGATACCACCAATGATTGAGGGTCAGATTCCGCGAGCGTCTCCCATGATTCAATTTGATGCGTGTATGGTCGCTGATCGCGCGGGAACCTATAGTCGCCTGCAAGCTCACTTGGGGGTTGATCCATCGCTTTGACTACGTCCGAAGATAATAACTCTCCCTCGAGGTCTTGCATGGTCAGTTCACCCTGACGCCATCCAAACACCGCTTCAAATGCAGGATCTGCAAGGAATGCACCCTGCTCGCCATAGGGCTGGTCAAATACTTCCGCAAGATGCTGGCGCAGAGGTATGTTGGCGAAGCCCAGCCGCCCAATCGCAGCCTGTTTCGCCCGTTCCGCCAACACAGGCATAAGTTCTGAAAAATAGTCTGGGCTGTAGGGCTTACTCATAACTAAAAAGTCCATCTGCGAAACAACGCGCCACCGTTAGGTTGTAGGCTTCCTCAAACCACTGCGGATCAAATGCTCGCTGTGAGCGCAAAGAATTCATCTGCCGAGCGTCTGCAAAGCAGACGCCGGTCTGACCGGTAACGACTTGCACAGCAAGTAGCAGCGGAAGATTGACTACGCCCAGTTGATAATCCACGTCCCGGGTGTACAGGTATTTCAAAGCAGCATCTTGGGGTAGAGACGACAGTGCCGAATTGAAGTCAGTTGGCCATTGATCTTCGGCGTGAACCTGGCGCAAGGCGTTTAGGTCACTGCCCTCTCCCTCGAAAAGCATTTGTTCGGCCATCGTGCCTAAGGCTCTTACTCCCTGTACATCCTGCTGCGTATCCGGCAAGAATTCCGACCCGACGATCCCCAGCAGGAACGAAAGGCTGCTGCTGATAGAGCATAACGATTTGATACGACTATCAAGGTGCGACCGCATGACGACCGTGCCACCCTCCTCGCCAAATGAGTCGATGCATTGCTGATTGAGGCCAGACATCGCTCCCTTCCATGCAGATACGGAGATCGTTTCCCACGCAAACGGCAGCTCTTGCGAAAACCTAGCCAGCATTTCCGGGCGCACGCTACTTAATCGCATCGCGAACGCCGCCATGCCTTCAGCCGATTGCGCCAAACGGCGCCATATATCAAGCGTTGCGAGCGGTAGATGACCCATGTGGCTGATTAGGTGCTCTACATCTCCCCACTCCGCGGCGGCAAAATCTTGCGCCATGGACTCGATAACGGTGTCTAGGGCTGCAGTACGCTCGGATTCAGCAGAGAGGTTAATCGCCTCAGCCAATCGATTAGGGGGCGAACTCACCCCCTCCACCGGCCATAGGGTCGGTCGAAACGGGATCTTTGAATCTTTCCCCGGGTAGATAAGCCATGCCCCAGGTTCCCTCTTCAATGGATTGAACTGCCATGAGCCCGTAGCAACACCCTCGCTTGACTGGGCAGGCAGGGCAAGCGGTTCATCCCCGACACGATCAAGGCGAATCGCCATAACTGGCAAGCTGGACAATTCGTCGAGATCCAATGCTGCAGCTTTATCCCAATCCAGCCACACATCATTCGACTCAATCTTAAGCGCTGCCGCATAGCGCGCTATGTTTAAGCTAAAGGTATCCACTCCATCTACCGCTATGCTGAGCTTCAGTAGCGCATCCGGCGTATCATCGGAAGATAGAAGCTCTAGGATATCGGCGAGAAATTCCTGCAAGCGAATCTCTACACTCAGAGCGCCAGGAAGGGATCGTAACCGATGCTTTCGGGCAGCCCGTCCATGGTTCACACTGATGTTCAACTCCACTCGCGCATGGTCGGACCCACCTGCCACAGAGAGCCGTATACCCGCCAACTGCTGAGCCGCAATCAGCGCACCAGATGCTAACGGAGATCCAGTGCCATCGAACGCTTGCACACCCTGCGCAGGGAAAGGTACTCGCAGACGCGCTGGGGTTGTCGTGTGTGGCCACAGTACTTCCAAATCCACATAGTCTGGCGCCACGCGAGACTGATCGGCGTTAACCTTCAAAAGTAGATCTTCCCCCTGGCGCTCAAAAGCATGACTGAGTGAGGGAGTAAGCACCCGCGCACTAGATATACCCCAATTCTGGAACCGAAGAGCACCGACTGTTGCATCCAACGGCTCTAGCTTGAGACCGGCATTGGGAGGGAGCAACACAACTCTGTTTCGAAACCGGATCTCACCCGTCGCAGGGTATCTCACCGCAACCGGTCCGAAGGCGGTTTTTGCAGTTGGTGCGCCGATGACGTTTAAACCCAACTGCCCATCTACTTTACGCCGCCCACCGTCTTCATCGACCCGGTAAAGTGCGGGAGTGCCCCGGATCGCCTTGGGCGGACTTTGAAAATCTAACCAATAGCGGTCACCGGCTAAATCAAAACTTTCCTCAACGCCTGCATGACCCGTTCGAATCCTAATCGTTGCATCCGTAGCATGAACTCGAACCCCACCTGAAATCTCAAACAAAGAGCGATCGGGATCAGACAGCCGTCCAAGCCCGACTACATCAGAGGTGGTCCCAGGCTCGACCTCCCAACCAGCAGGTAGGGCGATTAGCGCAGTATGTGCAGATACGCTCGTACTACCCTGACCGATAAAAGCTAGCTCACCATCCTTTTCCGCGAAGACCCAGGGCAGGTCAGCATCTAACGGGTCGCCTTTAGCTGCGGCAATAGACCAAACACGTCCATCAGCCGCGCTAAGTCTGAGAATGTGCTCAGATGCTGCGCTGCCATCCGTCGCTCCCCACGGCACTCTATCGACGCGATAGGCCGGATGGCCGGCCATACGGCGTAGCGAAACCACATCCAGCTCATCCCCTATCTTTAAGGATAATTTAGCCGATCGAGGTAAATCAGTTTCGTCCACATCATACAAACTTGCGAGCTGCTTCAGCGAAATAGAGTCATCAAGCTCAACGCGCGATCTAAATCTCCAAAAATCATCTGTATCCTGCTCGATCCACCTCTCGACTGGTAACACTACCGAGCGACGTTCTATACGCACTGCGGCTGCATCGCGCACCAGCTGTTCGATCATGCCACGCGCATGCCTGTCCCCAACCGGAAGAGGGAAGCGCTCCCGCCAATCTGGAACCGCGCGATCCAGCACTTCGATCGCATCATCGGAGGAACTAAGACGGGCCTCCTCTTTAAGCCGAAGCACCGCCCATGCAACGTCCGTCAATAACGTGTAGATGGTCTCCTGCTGAAAACTCTTCGGAAGGTATGCAGATAGGCTCTCTACCCAGGTTTGCAGGTCTGATTGAGCGACGTTCGCGCCGGATGCCAGGCGAAGCACTCGGCTTAATACGTATCCGATCTTGCCATGTGCAGAAGCCAATAATCGCAGCGGCAGACCGCCCTGAACCGCGACGGTACCCAGAAATCGGAGGGCGCCCTGAGTACGGGGTTTAAGTTTCCATTCCTGAAGGCCTTTGCGAACGACTTCGCTGCGTTCGCCCGGGCTCCAATCGCTAGGATCCGCACCAAGGTCCCGCAGGATGGGCTCCCACGAAAAGCCAGATCCATCATAGCGACGGCGCCACCATTCCGAGCCATACAGCACAAACAACCCAGGAAAAGCTGACAACGCCGCAACGCTCGCAAGATCGTGCCGTTCAAGCAGCAACCCTAGCCACTTGCGCAATAGCTCTTCCAGGCCGTCAAATTCGTCGTCCGTAAGGCGATACAAATAGAGTGGACGGCCGTCGGCAAACTGCATCCCTTTGCTGTGTAGAAGCTCCCGCTTCCACTCTGCAAACTGCTTGAATCCCCTAATCTCGTCCATCTGCTGGCATTCCCTTCCTAGATGGCTTTATTTCGCTGCTTGTTAAAGTGTCGCATATTGACAGCAAACTTTTTGCGTACCGGATCGCACGCTCGTGCACGAACGATTCATTCACTACGCCAATGAAAAGGTACAACATCGCGATTGCAATAACTGCCGAACCGACACCTGCCATCAATTGCGCACTCAAACCCTCTGCATCCAAGTTTTCGCTAGCGCCCACCGACAGCACCAAAAGCAACACCAGGTTGCTAATCAATGCCACAACAGAACTGGTGATCCCCCAAGGCTTCATCAGCAAAAGATTGCGCGCATAGCCATAAGCCACGTTGTCCGCGTAAACCAGCGGAAACACACTCTTATCACGACTGCGCTCACGTAGAAAATTGACCGCACTGATATAGCGGGCATCCGCTTCTTTTGGATTTGCGAGTTCTTCATCACTGCTTGGCATCGAAAACCCCGGCATCAGTTCCTGCAGCCGACTGTGGTAGCGGGTTTTAGTGTGGGCATCGATGACATCGCAGCGATGGCGCAATAACGCAGTCGTAGGTGCGCCACCCCACTCTTGGAAAAGTCGATTTTGAAGTGCGTTTCCAAGGTTTGATATCAAGCTTGAGAAAAATCCCACTACCCCAAATGTCACAATGATCGTAAGGGCCAATCCTCCGAGGTAGTGCGCATCTGGCAACCACACTAATGCCGTCACTGCCAGAGGCAGAATTACAAAGCTTGCGGGCTTAAGCCGAGCGTTGATGATGTAGTGATCAAAATGCCGATGAAGCGCCTCCAAGGTTAAGCCTCCTCATCCAGGTCCCAGTGATAGGGTTCGGCTTCGATCGACGTCCATCCTGCTCTATCGGGTGCGCCAAATGTGTGGCAAACACTGCCGCCGCGTGTAGCAAGCACCTTGACCCCTCTATGGGTAAAAGCGTTCAGCACTGACTTGCGTGGGTGCTTCGGCTCGCCTTGCTTAGCGGTAGAAGCAACAGCGGTGATTTCCCTGTAAGTGCCTTGGGTGACCGGACTACCAACCACTCGATCAAGCACAGATGGGCCGACGTTCCTCCTGCTACCATGATGCGGCACCTGAATGAATTTCAGTTCTGCCGGGTGATTACATGCATCCAGTTGATCTGCGGCGTGATGTAGAGCATCAATGCCCGCATCTCCAGTAAAGACCAGTCTCCGACCGTCAACGATGATTTGCGTAATCACGCTGGAGTTATTCTTTGCCGATGTAACCCCACTGTCATCAATTTCGTCTCTACCCCATTGGGCTAAGTAGCGCTTAACGGCAGTTGCCGCTCTTCCTAGCAATCCTTCCAGCGCAGACCCAGACCTAGCCGCGGGCATCCCATCGAATTCTGGAATAAGAGACTCGTAGTAGTCTTCACGCGGGCCCAAGACTCTTACGCTACCGCTTGCATCTACCAAGCCCGTGAATGGTTCTTTTATGGGGATCTCTCGCGCCACCGCCAGCTCCCACAAAACATGTGCTTTGTTCAGGCTTGCCTTCAGCCTTTCGCCAATGCTGTTATCCGTAACGCGTCCATCGTGAAACTTGTTCGCTAAACCAACGTTGTGCGCCCATGGCAGGTGCATCCACAACTCGCCCACAGTCAAATCAGTGAGCACGGCTTCCAGACCGTTGATGTGGTCTTGATCGGGGTGGGTGCTGACAACGATATCAACGCGATTAGTGTTGAAGTGCTCTTTGACATGCTGGACGAGCTTGGCACCGTCTTCGGTGAACCCGCCGTCGATGATGATTACGATTTGCTCTTCTCTGGAACCGTGCAGATTGCCAAACCTGATGGCGATTGCATCAGCACTGTTGGATTCTGAATCTGTACCAAGAAAGTCGACTTCGTAGCCCATCTGTGTGCTCCTTGAGGTTGCTGTTGCGTAAGCGATAACCTTCTAGAGCAAGGGCTGTGCCAACCCATGCAGACTTGCTATGTCGTTGATTTAATGGGAAATTTCGTCAAGCGCAAGGATGACGCACAGTCGATTTAGAGAACTAATATTATCGAATTATAGATATTCTTATCGCTAAACGACGTCTTCTTCTCGCACTTCTCCGGAAGAATCGACAATGAGGATCGGATCGCTGAGGCCGTAGGCTGACGATGAGGCATCGTACTGAGACCATCGCAGCTTATGGTGCTCGTGATCAAGCACGCTAACGTCAGTCGTTTGCCCGGGTTCTGCTGCCTCGTCCAACCCTTCATACCTGAGCCCAGCATTTTCAGTCAGAACGTATCTCTTATGAAACCACTCCCCGTCATCAACCTCTTTCCAACGGACAACTCGTAGCTGACCGCCAGGCGGTATCACCCCTGCCAATCGCTTCAGTCCCGATTTGAGCTCTTCAAATGGTGGCGATCGTTTTCCATTCAGAATGTGGTACTCACAATGCACTATTTCGATATTGGGAATCGCCCCCAGGAAAGCTGCCAAGGGATTGCGCCACTTTGGTCGATGCGGATTGAAATGAGGGTCAACTAGACGAAGCTGGCGGCAATTCTGCAAAAGCAGATGCGCAGTACCGGCGAGCTCACTTGCCGTACGCCTGACAGTTGATGTACTCGCGGCGGCAAACAGCGGATTCGACGAATCACAATGATCGGCATCGATTAGCTGGCCGCTTGCATCTTCTCGATCGCAGATTATCCCGGAGAAAGGTTGTACCGAGTGCGCGGCCATGGCGTTTTCAAGCCATGCAGCATTCGGGTTCGGGTATTCACGGTTAGATGCGACTAGTACCAGGCCTCTGGATCCCAGGCCCTCGATATAGTTAAAAACTTTCTCCTTTCGTCTCCCGTCCGGTAATGCCTCCGCAGCATCGTAAACGGCACGTTTCCACTTCTTTGGGAACTGGGAAAGCAGACGACCTTTTTCCACACCAAATTGGTCAACGAGATAGCGGCAGGTTTCGAAGCTCGAGGCCATCACCGCGGGATCAACGGCAAATTCCTTGAGCACTACATGAGTTCCTGTTTTCTCTCCGGAAAGAATCCGTTGGGCCAGCGGTCTAGAAATTCACCCTCTTCGGAGAGCCTGAGATGACTGATTTGCACACTATCGCCATCTGGGTTCACGTAGTAGACCGCGATATCGTCAGGCGTTAACGCATGGGCATCTGGCCCAAGTTCATCGTTGGCTGTCTCATATAGGCGACGCAGAAACCGCAACATCATATATTCGCTGTGCGTTTCCAAGATGAATACGGTATCGCGAGCAACACTCTCATCCTTCGCTGCATGTATGAACAACTCACCCAGGGCGACCTGGAACTTCGGGTGCACGTGTAGTTCCGGCTGCTCGATGGCAACTATGTTTTTGTTGTGGCCCAAAGCAGCAACCAAGACAGGCAGTACCTGGGAAATTCCCGTGCCCAGATCCTCGGGGTGTAGCTCGATGTTCGCACGGACATCCCGGAGTGTTACCTGACGACGTGTGGGAAGCTCATCAAGCTGAGCCTTAACCCAATCACTTGCTTCGAGCAACTCGTCGCCACTTTGTAGTGCCACCATGAGTGCCGAGTCCAGCGGCAGCGCCTTGTACTCAGTAAAATTAACCTCATAGCCGGAATCCAACCGCCTATCATCAGCCAGCCAATCGTTGACCTTTTCAGATAGCAGTTCACCTTCGTTGTATAGCTGGTCCCAGGCACCAAGACCTGACGCCCACCGACCTAAACCGGGAGATAACTCCGGCGAATAGTGCCGCCCCGGAATATCTCGCAGAGGGCCAAGATAAATAAACTGTTCCAGGCAATCTCGCGCAAGCTCACCTGCGCCGACAACAACGCGCGATAAATACGCATTAAGCGCTCCAAAATCCCCTAGAGACTTTCTCACATCTGCAAGCCGCTGTTCCGCAACTTTCTGTTGCGCCGGATCAAGGCGCCGAGCCGGACTCAGCTGCTCTTCTTCAGTCGAGGGCTCCAATGGAAGAACGCCACCAAATTCAGGCATTGCAGCCCGACCATGCCGAATAAAGATCGGTGGGACATCAATGTCATGTGTGTCACTAGCGGGGAAGTACCCTTGAACCATAAGGTCCAATTCATCTGCCACCAAAATTGTTTCGTCGTCAACCACTGGGATCTGAAACATCGAATGAACTGTGTTCAGGCTCAAGAGGATCTGCTTCTGATCTGGAGGTGCGCTTATCTCGGCAAACCACTCACCATCCACGCCAACGGAATAGACGGACACATAGGCAAGGCTCAATTGTCTACTCCAGCTAATTTGCAGTCGTACTTCGATCTCTTCAATTTGATTCAGATCGAATATTTCACCACTGATTAGGGCCTCACCAAGCAGAAGGTGTTCATCCTCTCCCGCTTCTAGATAGCTGGGTAGCAAGCTCTCCCGTAGCTCCAATCCAATGGCCAACTCTACGCTCGATTCTACATCGTGTCTGTGTACGAGATTACGAAACCCACCCAGGTCTAGGTTTCCACCGAGCCGAGTGCTCCCTGGATCGCAGTTGTCATGTGAAAGGATCTCAGAAAAATAGTGTAACGCTTGCACGATCGTACTTTTGCCCGCGCTATTTGGCCCGTATAAGAGATTAATAGGAAGGAACTGAATTGATTGTTCGTCCTCACCAATACTCTTGAAGTTACGCACGCTTAAGTGCTTTAGTCTCACTTTCTGTCGCCCCTATTAAAGTTGACCGGCAAATGCTTGTTGACTCAACGAATCCAAAAGCTCTTTGGAACGATCAGTCAAGACAGCCATCTGATCTTGTAGTCTGCAGACGACAGCTATTCTCTCCTCAAATTGTTCCTGCAACGACCGTGGAGGAATCGGGATCCTGATATCTTGAAGCTCTTGAGCATTAATATTTGCCATTCCAACAATGCTCTTGCAAAGATTCCTCAATAACGCTTTCCCATAATTGGAATTCAAGAAAGCAGCTAGATAGTATGGGTTTCCAAGGTCGTTCGTGCGTACTCGAATTAGGTATCCCGCTATTGCCATCGG